TCTTCACTATAGCCTTATAGCGAAGTTGAGGTCTAGGACATAGAGTTCGTTATAACAAGAGTTGACTGTATATTAAACATGTATAACAAATTAGCATTTATAATTAATAAAGACACTATCGGTATATTCTAAAATAGTTTAATATTAATTAGGTTGTTGTGGTATTGTGTTAATATAAAATCCCAAAATCAAAATTATTTGTCACATTAATATTGACTCACATTACAAAAGGTGTATGATAAATATGACTGCATGTAGGATGCGATAAAAAGGTTTTAGGATTTCAACTTTCAGGATTCAAACAGATTTCATAGTATTAAATATATTAACCGATTGGTGGATATACGCATAACTTAATTTTACTTTTTTGACGCAACTATAATTTTTTTACTTTGTGCATTTTGTGATTAGAAGAATTTTTTTTTCCTTGTAAAAATCAATATTAATTAAATAATAAAAAAGTTGACTTACCTGTATAGTAATATTCTAATATGCTACATCTAACAAAACATTAAAAACATCTAAAAAAAAATTTGTGAAGCAAAAAAAGCTAAGTATTAGTATATCAGAAGTAACATTAATATTAATAACGTATCTGGTTTGAAAGTTATCCTGATGTTAATGATATTTCTTTTCATGATAAGCTGAAAGACTATGATAATATTGAAGATTCTGATAATGACAATATTTCTTTTTATGATGATAATTTTTCTATTCATGATGAGTCAATAGAAAATGATAATGTCATAAGTATTGTAAAAAAACTATAAAAAGCAGCAAAAAAGTATCATTAGGAACATGCTTCTCAAGAAATACATAGATTATGTTATATAGGAAACTCAAGCTACACTAAAAGAAGAAAGAATCAGCAACAGCGTGAAGCAGCAAAAGAGATCCTTAAGTTACATATCTTTTGGAATGTTAAGAAATCTACTAAAGAAATTGAAGAATTAGATGATGAGACTAATATAGATATAGATGATAATGCTGATAAACAGTTAGTATTAGATGATAATGCTAATAAACAGTTGGATAATGAGGTTAAGGGTTATAATTAGTATAATAAAATCCCAGATACTCTCAAAAGTCTAATGTTAGATATTAAAAAAGAAAAAATAAATAGTAAGGTTTGGGTGCGTTTAAATAGCATTTGTCTTTATTTTTAACTTGTGAAAAGTAACCATCTAAAAATGCAAGTGAGCGAGATTGTTGCTGATGTAACAGGAAAAGGAACATACTATGCTAAATGCATTCGTTCTTGAGTACATGAATATATAAAGAATCACAAAATTTCCTACTCCTATTAAGAACATAATACTAAGATATGGAGTTTTCTTTGGGATGAAGATATTTTTCTCCAAGTGAAGTCATTTGTTCAGGAGCATAAGTGAAAAATTACTTCACAAATATTAATGATACAAATAAATAAGAATATTTTACCAGGGCTCAGATTTGTACTGTCTCCAATTATTCATATAAATACTGCAAGAAACTATTTAAAAGAGCTTGGTTATACATATACAAAAGTAAAAAAGGAAATGTATATAGATGGGCATGAAAGAGAAGATATGGTGGCTTATCAGAAAATATTTTAAAACGAATAAGTGAACTTAAGCTTAGAATGCCTATTTTTTCAGGAAATAACTTAGAAGAAGTAACCTGGCCAGATAATCTACTTATTCTTGTTACACACGATGAATTTCTTAACTTATGATGAAAGTCAGAGTCTTTGGATCTCTAATGGAGAACAATCCTTATGAAAAAAAGGTAACAGTTGCTTGATTCATGTCAGTAAATTTTGACTATGTTTGTGACCATCTTACACTTTTTGACGAAATACAGGTATTAGATAATTTTCCAAATAGGCCTGTATTATTATTAATCCAGGTAAAAATAATGATGGATGGTGAAAAGCTGAAGATTTGGTAAACCAAGTAGTCGAACGTGCTATTCCCATATTCAAAAAATATTTTCCAGGGTGTCAGGCTTTATTTGCATTTGATAATGCATCAAGTCATGCTACTTTTTCACCAGATGCACTAGTTGCCAAACATATGAATCTTAGCCTAATAGAAAGTAACCGAAGATGCACAACACGTATTTTGGTGAGGAAGTTCAACAAGAAATGGTCTTTCTGTTAGATTATCATATTTCTAAACTGCGTGAACAGCCAAAAGGGTTAAAGCAAGTTCTAATAGAAAGGGGATTGTGATTAAATGGAGGGTTAAAATTGGAAGAAACACGAAAAATTATAAGTTAGCAGCTGGATTTTTTAGCACAAAAGGGACGATTAGAAAAGGTTATTATTGCAGCTAGACATTAAATCATATTCTATCCTAAATTTTATTGTGAACTTAATTATATTGAGAACTTTTGGGGTGCAGCTAAGAAATTTAGTCAGTCAAATTGTAATTACTCGTGAACAGGATTACAAAGAACTGTTCCATTGGCTCTTGCTTCTATTTCACTTACAACTATTTGTCAGTATGCAATAAAGACATTTCGCTATATAGATGTATATTAAAAAGGCTTAACAGATCAGGCAGCAGTATTTGTAGTTAAAAAGTATTGTTCACATAATTGGGTTCCTGATTCAGTTTTACAAACAGTTATTATTTAGGCAAAATACACTGAATTATTTACATTGGCTATGGACAAAATGAAAAGCAAAAAATTAGTAATATTAACATGTAATTCTTGCGAACTACAACTATTAGATGGGGTGTTCAAGCAGTTTATTCTTTTTAATTGAACAGTAATCTTTCAACGGTTAACGAGTTTTATTTCAGACTGATTATCAAAAGTGTTTATACTATTATGTTGAGTAGTAATTCAACAGATTGCCAATGACTTATAATTGTAAAATAAATAGGTTTATTCACGAGTAAAATAATAAAAGTAAAAGAAAAAAAAAGTAATACTAAAACTAGAATGTAATGTGATAAGCCAGTTGTCTTTAAAACTATAATGTGATGTGATAGGCCTGGTTGCCTCTAAACTGTAATGTAACGGGATAGGCCTGGTTACCTCTATTATACTATTTTCTGGATTGGTTATTTATGTCGATAGGCCTTCAGGATTGGTTACCTACGTCAGCTAGCAATACCTCACTCACTGCTAAAACTACTTAAGCTATCTTCTTCTCTCCTTTTTACATGAATTAATAAGTTACCTATTTATATAAAATATATTACATAGAAAGATATAACTAATATATCTAATATGTCAGTTATGCCATATATGTCTGACATGTCTAATATGTCACATATGTTAGATATGTTATCTATATAAATTGATCATCCTCCTGCGTTATATAAGCTACGTTACATTTACCCGTTCACAGTAATATGTAAATTTTGCACATATCAATAATAGCAATTAAAATACTTATCTTTTAAAAACTTTCGTTTATTTTTTCAATAAAGATAGCAAGAAATGTTAAATCTTTTTTTTAAAAGATTGTGGCTTTTGATCAGTAACACAGAAATGAAAATTCAACTAATAAAAAGTAAGAAAATTGATCACGTGAGTCACATGAGGGCGGTCAAAATTTCTTTAATAGTAAAATGACCTCACTTTTAAATTGCTACTGCTCCATCGAAAATAGTTTTATCAGAATTTTAAAAACATAATTTTGTTAGGCTTGAGTTACTCTATCATTTTATGATTATATTTTATATTTATCATGTTTTTGAATAAGGAATAGTAATTTGAATTTTATCAAATTTATTGGTTGGGACTAAGTTGTATGCATTGTATTCAATTAGAAAATTATAATAAGGAGATTACATTAGTTTTACCAGTACTTATATGATGGGATACACATCTTAGCTGTTTTCAATCACTTAAAAAATCAAGAATTTCTCTTGAACAATCATTGATGAATCCTTTGATTCGCCAAAAAATGGATCAAAGAATGAGAAATAATATATTATCAGATGAATTTTAGTAAATGGTAGATTTGATAATTAATATTTTAAAACCAATAGTTGTAGCATTAAAGTCTTTTGAATCAGATACATCTACTCTCTCAACAATTTATTTATATTATAGCAAATTAATAGAACAATTTGGTAAAGTTTCATGGCATTTATCTAAAAATATTCAGCAACTTATTCAAA